TCCCCATCTTGCTTAACTCCTGCACTTGCTGCTTGGAGGGCGCGGGCCAGCCCCAGCTCCCAGCCCCTCCGCAGAGAAAGGCTCGCCTGGAGGCAGGAAGCCAGGAGGGAGCGGGAGAGCAACCAAATGCTTCTCCTTTCTGCCCTGCAGAAACCCAGCTGGCTCCAGGGAATGGTGAGGAGACAGGAGAAGCGCAAGAGGCAGCTCTCTGCCAACATGCCCCGTGGCTGGCCGCAGCCTATTGATCCCCTTCCGTCAGCCAGCCCGCGCCGAGCAGCACCATCCAACGCAGGTCTCCAGTCGGCACCGAAAAGCTTTGAATTTGGTGAGCTTTGGCTCGGTGCCCTCTCTCCCCAGCACGAGCCAGTCCAGCCCTCCAGCACCTCCAACTCCCACTTGTCTGCCCGAAACCAGTCAATACAGAGAGCTGACGGGACGGCTGGGAGGCAGCCGGGAGCTCCCAGTGCCCTGCGCGGGCAGAGCCGAGATTTACAGCTCAGGCTCCAATCCCCCTCCCTCAAGGTTCTCCTGGAGATTAAACACCGAAACCCTCCCCGAATATCTGGCAACAAGAGGAGGAATGCGGTGTCAGTGTGTGGGCTGGGAGGAAACAAAGGCGGCCTTTTACACACACCCAGCAAAGCCCAGAGAAGGTTTCCACCAGCTGGCTGTCGGCAGCGCCTCGCACCGAGACGTCCTCCCGACGCTCGGTTCTATTTTCAGCAAGCGGCTCAGATAAGCCTTTGTTGCTTTCTAAGGCCCCAAAACAGATTAGCGGCAGCCCAGAGCAGCAGGCCTCCGAGACACCACGTACGAGCCGGAGGCTAAAGATGCTTAGCCTTGGTGCTATCCTCCCACCCCTGCCGCTGAAACCGCCGGGCAGGTCAGCCCCACGGCTCACTGCCCCACGGCTCACAGCCCCACGGCTCACAGCCCTTCGCTGGAAGGTCAGCACTGTCTCCCCTTTTAAGGGCTAGGGAAACTGAGGCAGGAGACACAAACACCAGCAGTCAGGAAACAGTGCCCATGAGGATCCGTGGCCTGGGAAGGGTGGGCTCTCCCAAACCCTTGCTCTGCCACCAGTTTGATGCACAATCCCAAACTCTGTCGCTTTGTCCCCATCCGCTCTAGAGGGGGAAAGGCCCTGTCCTTGCCCTGGGTGCAGGGAGCACATCCTGGAGGTGACGTGACGGCTGTGCAGACACATCCAAGCCACACAGAGCTGGGAAGAGCACGAAGACTTCACAGCAGCCAAGAGATTCCCCAGTTGGAGATGGGCACGGAGGACCCAAACCCAGCTAGGGTGCGAGGAGAGCAGGATTCACTCCCCTCTCTGATCCCTGCCAGGAGAAGGACATCAGCAAAGGCTCTTAAGCTGTCCTGACAACACACCAACTGGCAAATGTTCCCCGTGTGCTACAACAGCCTGGAGAAGGGCTGCATCACCACCTCAAAGCATGAAATCCAGATGGGACAGTGGGATCAGGAGGCGACAGGCCCTCCAGGAAGCTGGCACCGGGATCGCTGCTCCATCAGGAGCGAAGAAGCAGGACTGGCTTCACCCCACCTGGCTTCCCAGGGGAATGATTTACTCCTAAAGGAAACTCACTGGGATGACAAACAGCAACAGAAAGGACAAAAAGAAAGATTAAGAGGCCATCAGATTAACCAGAGCTCCTGAGCCGCAGCAGCAGCTAAATCCGTAATTTGACCACAGCGACCCACAGCCATGACGAAAACACCCCAGAGATAGAGGGGTGCCTGTGTGGGGAAACAGGTGGGCTCGGGGCTCCCCGGCCCCTTCCCGAGCTTGGCTCCAGCTCCAGCAGCTGCCCAAAACACTGCCAGCATTTGTCAGAGCTCCGCGGAGCCCGCACGGGCCGCGGCGATGAATGGACAGAGGGGGCTGAGGGCGACACGGTCGCCGGCAGCTGTCGGTTGAGAATGAGCAATGGGATTCTTAAAACCCAGCGACTCTTCCGCAAGAACACCGGAGCCAGCTCCGCGCGGCAGAGGGATAGGCAGAGGGGAGACGATATTCCACAGGAACAAAGCCAGCAGGAAAACAGACCCAGTTGGCTGGCTGCGGCCGCCTAAGCAGGGCACAGGGGTTAGTGGAGCACGGTGGGGGAGGCGCAGACGTGAGCTGCTTGAGGCTGTGCCTTCAGGCTGCC